GGTCTTACCTCCAGTGCTTTTGAAGCATTGAACATAGCGTTTCTGTGCCGACTTTTCTCGGTCAGTTGCAAACAGGATGCAAGTGATTACGAACATAGTACACCAGAATACACTTATCAACGGAATGAGACTGTTTTTTCCCTGAGAATAGGACAGACTTCCTTTTTCAAGAGCTTTCGGAAGAGATTCAAAGCAAAATCGTATATATCTACAGCGTAATTAACGAATATTCACTCCGCAGTCAAGATGTTCATTCCACGCCATCTTGACACAAATGGTCAGATTTTGAATACCACCCTAGACTGCAAAACAGTCTGTTTTTTTCTCAAAATCAGTGAAGAAATCGGTAAAGCGTGGCGTAAGAGTCTTACGCGCGCGAAACGAGCGAGCCTCACACGCGGACTGTTTTGCAGTCTAATACCGCCCATGATGCTTGGCGATCGTAGTGCGCACACCACCATCATTCTCAGTTTCAAGAATAGTTTATTCTAAACCTTAAGAAAAGATTTAATTAGAAGTTTGATTTTTCGCTATTTCTATTTCACTTTTTACATTTAGTTCATTTCATTTGCCGGAAAGTAAGCCTTAGAAATTAAAAGGACGTTTGATCAATTCACGCTCGCGCATTCTAGTCTTATTTAAAACTTTATAGCGGAAGGACATCTGTGAGCACGGAATAAGTCAGCACAGAATTTGATGGTCGGCGAATTTCTGTAATCGTCCATCGTTCTGCTAGTGATAACCTAGCCGTTGAATCATTCACTCGTCTTGCTTGTGTTGGGGCGAGTCTTATTCCGCTCAAAGAGAGAGAAAGAGTGTCTGGCAAGGTTCAGCAGAAGGTTTCCAATCAAATATTTGTGAACTCGTGTCTGGCAAACTCACTTAGTATTAAAATATACACTGTTCTACGCACCTTATAACTTCATCTGCGCTTAACGAGTGCCTTTTGGTCCATAACTTTCATAACAACTACTCCACAGAATGTCACTGATAACGCGTAACGCAAAAGAGTATCGAAGTGTGACTGTACAATTAATGTCACAAAATCTACCTATTTGCCCCCGCAGGGATTTTGCCCAGAAGGCGAAATCCCGAGGAGGCACTCTAGTAACTCGCGCGTATATTAAGGCAAGTACTTACAGTTTCAAATATACAGTCATACAGTCAATATAGAAAAAATCTCGATTTGCTTGAACAGGGGCCGCGAGGAATCGGTAGGTAGCGATGACTTTTCTATTGTTTGCGCCCGCAAGTACGAAATGGTTAGGATGACGTAATGACAGAACATTCCCAAGGGACCGCTTAGGTAGATCAGTTTTGTGACATTTATTGTGCAGTCATACTTCGACACTCTTTTGCGTTACGTGTTATCTGTGACATTCTGTGGAGCAGTTGTTTCAGTGAAAGTTATGGACCAAAATTTTAACGACACTCGTTCAGCGCAGAAGAGGTTATAAGATGTGTTTAACTGTCTATATTATATATAAACCCTTGGAGAGTTTGCCAGACACGAGTTCACAAATCTTTCATTGGAAACCTTGCCAGACACTCTTTCTCTTTCTTTGACCGGAATAAGACTCAGCCCCAAACAAGCAAGACGAGTGAACAACGGCTAGCTTCTCACTAGCAGAACGATGGACGATTACAGAAATTCGCCGACAATCAAATTCTGTGCTGCCTTACTCCCTGCTCACAGATGTCCTTCCGCTATAAAGTTTAAAATAAGACTAGAATGCGCGAGTGTGAATTGATCAAACGTCCTTTTAATTTCTAAGGCTTCCTCTCCGGCAAATAAAATGAACTGGATGTAAAAAGTGAAAGCGAAAAATTCAACTTCTAATGAAATCTTTTCTTATGGTTTAGAATAAACTATTCTCGAAACTGAGAATGTTTTGATCAAAGCTGTGTAAATCGACCTGAAACTGTGCATGGAACCTTGCGTTTCCTGTACTTATCTCACCTATTGTATGGAATATGTGTGAAAAACTTCCTTATGAATCGGTATATTTCAAAGAGCTATACAACGAGCAAGAATGCTATTGACCGACAATATACAGAGCGGTGGTTGCTGTAGTGTCAACTATTACTAGTGTAAGCTGTTCCTTCGGTCCTTCGGGATTTTTTGTGTTTTACGTTATCCTAACCTTTTCGTACTTGCGGGCGCAAACAATAGAAACGTCATCATTACCTAACGATTCCTCGCGGCCCTTGTTCTAGCAAATTGAGATTTTTTTTCTATATTGACTGTATGACTGTATATTTCAGCTGTAAGTACTTTTCTTAATATACGCGCGAGTTACTAGAGTACCTCCTAGGGATTTTGCCTTTTTGGCGAAATCCCTGAGGGAGGGGGGGAATAATGTTCGTATGCAGACATAAATATATCAACACTAGCTTTTATCATTTCATTTCTAATTTTATCCGAAAATGTTGATTTATTATTCTCTTACTTTTCCGCAGCTTTACGTATTTCGCTGTCAGTTATCATGAAATCTATAGAACGAGAGTGTTGACCTTGGCGTACATTTTCTCGTAGCTCGTTGTAAGTTTTTTGCTGAGCTGGGGTTAAGAGGGTCATTTGAATGAAGGTTGTGAAAATATTGTAGCCAATTTTCTTCCGAAATTGATGGAGCATCCTCTTCTTTTCGCCTGTCACCCATCGATTAAATTCATTTAAGGCATTGCCAGAAAGTTTTCGCATCTGAATTGTCTGCAGTTTTTTTCTAGCTCAGAAATCTTCGCATTGTGATAGTCATTTTTTTTAGGAGTTAAGCATTTTCTTGCATTGCTTCAGGGTATCATGATATTGCTCACGTATGGTAGTATTCATAGGGTCTCGATGTTTCTTGTTTGCTAGTTTTCGTGATTCATGCCATTTAAAACGACTTTCTTTATGGAACCATTTTTTGTTTAATAATGAATTGATACGTTTATGGGTTTTCTCAGCTTTAGTCTTTAAAATTGTGATTAAAATGTTTTCAACCTTTTCGAGGGATAGCTCAGCATTTTCACTGAATGTGTCGGTAGCAATATAATCGCGTCTGATTAGTGTTTCTATACGAGGAGACCTCAGAGCAATCTTTAAATTTTTGAGGAGAGTCGTTTTCCCACAGAAATTGTTTCGGTACGGATTAAGTATCTTCTTCAAGTAGTGGTGTGATTGTAACCCGTCGTTTTGTTAATATTCAACCAAGGAGTAAAAGGACTATGGTCTCACAAATGCAATGGGTCTTTGACTACAAAATCTGCAACGTGCGATAAAAGATCTTGGTCACATACTGCGTAATCAACTACACTTACTCCGTTTTTGCCATTAAACGTTACTCTTCCTAGCGGATCACCACTTATTCTTCGGTTCAGAATTCTTAGATCTGAACTTTTACAAATTTCAAGAAACCTAGCTTTTACCGTGACTGTTTATCTAGTTATCAAAACTATTTCTCTGAGTTGGGTAGAGTGAGAATTCAGATTGGTCGTTTGTAATGAGGTTATTTCCCTCGTTACAAACACTGCCCGAATACTTTCCTGTTCTAGCGTTCAAGTCACCCATAAGGAGAATTAAACCTTGGAAGGAAAATATTTCGATGTCAGTTCTTCAAGTAATTCTACATAAGTTGAAATATGGTGAATTGCATGAGATATATAAAGACCATATGTATAGATATCTTAGACGGTTTTGGCATAGTCTTTGTCAATTTTGAACCATAGAAAATGGCAGGTCTTTTTGACAATCACGAAACGTATTTTTATAAAGTAACACATCTGCCTCGATCTTTTTTTCTGCGTTTGTATAGACCTCAACTTCGACGTCTCGTTCATGACTCGAGCATTCAGCTTTTGTTTTAAAATGCGTAATGAAATCTAGTAAATAATTATAAAGGAAAGAAAAATTTAAAGCGTTAATCACTGAGTAGTACTATCGCCTTTGAATAGCTAGGGCCCGGGGAGTTTTAATATATCACCAAGAGTTTTATTGTCGTGCGGCTATAATTACTTTATGGAAGTGCGAAATCATGAGGTTGAAAGTTGCGTTTGAACTGAAGAAGTTGAGCTT